TCCATCCCTCTCCAAGGACCATGGCAAACTGATAATAGCAGGCAAATTTACCAGGAAATAAGAAGACTCACACACACTGCAGCAGCTAAAATCAATGCACTGCTGAAAAACACACTCAAAGTAGAGCAAAATTAAACTGCCAAACAGGTTTTCTGGTTGGGTGAACCATTGCTGAAGACACCCAGGACTGAACTGCCTTTCTGTGACCTGCAATTGGCTCCACAGAAAGACTATTGCTACAAGTGTGTGTGAAGTTGTGATTTCACCAGCTTTGAAGCCAAGAGTCATGACTTCACTAACAAACTTGGTTTACTTGCAACTTTTAGGGTTGAGCACAACTGACAAACTGCGCTAGTTTTGAAGTACACAGTCGTGATGTCCATGGATCAACAGGGTCTACAGAACAAAAATTCCACCTTTTGTACCCACACAGTGTATGTAAAAACATGCCTAGTGCAGAAGTGTCCGATAAAGACTGCAGAGTGACTGTCTCCTACAGAGACAACAGAATCCAGACTAATAATGACTAGAGGGTTTTATTTCAGCTTTGCTATCTAATGGCATTCTAGGGTACTTCAAATGAAAACAGCAATTACCAAACAAAATGAGCATTTCATCCATTGGGATAACTTAATTACAACTACAGAACTGCTTATCTCAGTGAACTTTGTGCTGCTCTGGAGCAGTTTGACAGAACAGAAACATTTCTGCTCACCTATGGCCACAGTCCATGCCTGTTTGTCCTTCAGAGCACACAGCACCCTGGGGTGAGTCAACACTTGCATTTGGAAGGAAGAGGCAGAGCTGAGGTTTACCCTCAGTGCACATCAGCCTGTCTGTGTATTCAGAGACAGCTGAGGGTGGGCACAGACCAGTGGTCTATGTATAACACAGCAGATGTTTCAGGGAGTGCAAATTATTTCCATGAGGGAATGTCAGTGTTTCTGGGACAGAACAAGTGTGTAGCACAGCACAGACACACTGCAGTGCAAGTATTCAGTAAAATACATGTACTCTTTGAAAAACATACTACATAGACCTGGCACAGTGAATCTGAGGCCTCTGAAAGGGAAATGACTCACCTGTTCTTTTCTCTGGTTAAATTTAGCTGTGGGCACAGCTGCATTATTTTCTGTGCAATGAGCATAGGGAAAAAACTAGTGACTCCCGGGTCGTAGGAGTGCTTGGTTTGACTTTGGTGAAGGGCTGAAATACATTTTGAGGTCTGCACGTTTAGGGTAAGATGATATACAACCAGTACTGAATAGCAAGGGACTGTCCCCAGACTGTGTTACAACATCACAGTACAGACACAACTAAAGAACCATGTGCCAGGGTTTGGCATGTTGTTTATTTTAACTGTGGGTTTTTTACTTCTTTGGATTGCTTTGGATAAAAGAAAGATGATTATAGAGCAACATATAGTAGCAGGTTGAAATTCTGTTCCAGAGAAAAATCAGTGATTGGAAGAAGCAGAGCTAAAACTCACCCAGGAGCTGTCTAGCAGTATTTTTAGAGAAAAATTGGGGACAGGTATTTATAGACCTGACGAAGTACTCAAAAATGGTGGGAAGGGAAACTCAGCTTTTTTAAACTGAATTTTTAAAGATTAAATAGTCCATGTTTTTGATCAAGCTGCAAGATAAACACATAGCCAAATGCAATTTCAACTGACACTCCTATTAATGCTCAATGGAAGCAATGAGGAAACTATGAAATGATTGTTACCTTAATATTGGAAAACCACAGGTCATTTTCATGCAGTGTAGCAACATAAACAGAAGTGAGAAGTCCAAGAGAGATGGCAACAATTCCACCAACAGTTACTGAGAGTATGTTCCAGAGCTTTCCACCTGTATGACCTTGGAAGAAAAATATTTCAGTCTGTAACTGTGAAACGTGTAATTCAACCTATAGGAATTTTGGAAAGTCATTTATACATTTTCCATGCTAGCACAGTTTACATTCTGCAGCTAACAGGACACTTGGTTTTAAGAGGTCTTTGGACATAGAGACGTGTTTTTTCTCTTCTCATACAGCAAACTCAGAGTAGTTTATTTACATGCAAAGTGAAATCAAGTGTGCCCTTAAGTGGTAAAATTTAAGAAGACCATGATACTATCCAAGATTAGATCAATGCCATAACTGATTTGTAAATCCAGATTGAGACACCTCCAGGAGAACTCCGTTAATCCCAGTGATACAGGATGACAGCTGGATCACAAAGCAAGGAACTGACATCTCTGTCACAGGTTTGGGGGCTCTGGGTGTTTGCTTGGCTGCTGTAGAAAGCACTGAAGGTTCAGAAGTCACTGACTACCCACAGAGCCTGAACAGCAGCCAAAGCAGCCTGTGATGAAGGTGTCAGGCTCTGAGCTGCTGCTGTCGGAGTAAGATTAGAGATAGAATGACAGGAAAGAAAGTTGTTTCTGGGTAGCTCAAGCACTTAGTGTGCCCTTACCTTCCTGAATTTCCAGTTTGTTGGGTTTTATTTGTTTGTTTGATGTTGCTGTAGGGTTTAACATGGATCTTAGTGATCTGGAATTGTGTCTTTGAAATGGCTATTTCATCCACAAAACGATGTTCCAGCTGTGCAATTCCACAGAGCTGAGGGCTGGGCGGGATGATCACTTTCCCTTTTGGTATATAGCCCAAGTGTAATTGTGTGGAAACAACAACAATCTGACTTTCCTTTCATCCACCCTAACTGCACATACAGAAACATTTAGACTTCAGATCAAAACATCCCTTAAAGTAAGTTAATTTAAAAACCACCCCAAACTCCAACAAATGTTGCCAGCTCTGAAGCTATAATTCCATACAGAAATTCATACACAAGTTCATTACTTAAACAGATCCTTGAATTAAGGCACTTAATGTCTCCCTTCTAAATTTACCTAGCTACTGTCCTAAAACTCAAAAAGCAAAAGTTTGCAGTTAAATTCAAATCTTATGTGCAATCATCAGCTTATATTTAAGTACATCTCATCAGTTGTCTTCAACTCCTTTTGTTATCTGTGATTTGAATTTTAAGAACCTGCAGTGACTACATAAAATCTGATAGTGTGTCACTGAAGCTCTGTTGGAAAAAACTTGTTCTCATCAATTTCAATTAGGATCTTAGAACAGAGGTGAGACTGACATGCAGCAATCTTCATGCCCATGTCTCATCCAGCTAATTTTGGTGCAAGTCCATACTTCTCCATAGAAGTATTTGGTGCGTACATAGCTCAAACCTCTGCTAGAACAGCTCCCAAAAGCTGAACACTGCTCAGAGCCATAGTGTGACAATCCTTGTCATTACCCACCAGGCAGAGTTTTCCCATCAGGCTTCACATTAGTCTCCTCTGAGGGCTGATCTTCAGCTGCTTCTGCTCCTTTTCCAACCCTCCTCTGTCTCACGGTTGTCATGTTGTCAGTCACTTCAATTCATTATTCTTCAGTCTGACTCCTAAATGGACACACACAACCAATGCATCTTCCTACCCAAACATGCACTTGATACTGTGTGAAATAGGAGAGAACAGGATCACTGCTTACTGACCTCAGAGCCTTCGGCCTGCAGAACTGCACTGAGATGTGTGAAACTCAGGATTTCTAAAATCTGTTCAGCTCACAGAGCAAATGAAACTACAGAACACACTGTCTTAACTTCATGATATTTGCATACTCAGGTTTTCAGAATCATCATTCTGGCTGCCCTTCCTTTTAGCCCTTGACTCAAAACACACACCAGGCTCCACCTCTTTGAAGTGTAAGCCCTTCCCCAAAAAATTAGTCCTTCCAGGGTATTTTAGTTGGGTGTCTAAAATACAAAGCCTGTTCTTTAAATCCTGACATTCAGGAGATGCCCCAAAAAGGAGGCCATAAGATGCCAGAATTATGCCATGTGTGAGAAAAAATTAGAGAGATCATAAAAAAACCCCAAACCTTTGATGCTTTATACTACTAAAGCACCATAAAATTTGAGAACACTACAAGAAAGAAAGAGCAGCTAGTGATTCCCCTGTTGATTCCCAGGTGCTCACAGCTCTCTGAGCATGGTCCACACATGAAACTGCTTCAAGCTGCCGTTTTGCACCTGAAAATCAACCTGAAGGCAAAAATCTGCTACCCTGCCAAGAGCAAGAGCTGCTACTTGTGCCAGCAGTGGTGTAACTGGCTGACAACGCTAACACTCCCCGAAACATCCCTCACCTACACAGCTTCAAAGCTTCCCCCCCCCCCTGCCACACCACAAGTTCCTCCCCTCAAACCTTTAGGTACAGCTGCTCAAGAAACACAACGGAGCTTATAACGAGCTGAACACAAGATGCACCTCTAAGATTCTAATTTAAATTAAAAAAGCCACATATAGCTGGCACTATAGGGCAGGGAGCGAGAGGGAAAAAAACACTTCTTCCCCGCACACCTGGGGAAACACACGGAGGGAAATCCGAGGTTCCTCCCCTCAAACCTTTAGGTACAGCTGCTCAAGAAACACAACGGAGCTTATAACGAGCTGAACACAAGATGCACCTCTAAGATTCTAATTTAAATTAAAAAAGCCACATATAGCTGGCACTATAGGGCAGGGAGCGAGAGGGAAAAAAACACTTCTTCCCCGCACACCTGGGGAAACACACGGAGGGAAATCCGAGAGCACAACCCCCTGAGCCTGTTGGCAACAGCTGTTCTGCAGCACACCTGGAAATGAGTCAGTGAAGGGAGGATGCTCATCCTGCCCAGCTCTCCCCTTCCCTTCCCTTCCCTTCC